ATATATATATATATATATATATTTATTTATTTATTTATAATCAACACTACCAGACATCCGTGATCGTCAGATCGGCCCAAATTCGTTGAGCTCATTTGTCCCTATGAGAAAATAGGCTCACTCTAGCATCTTCCATATATATAGATATATATAGATATATATAGATATATATATATTTATTTATTTATTTATATATTTATTTATTTATTTAGTGCCAGTTTTTTCAACAAACATGTTGAAGGTAAGTTGGTTAGTGCACTTGACGTTAATTTCCTTCTTCAAAGGAGACGCAAGATTCGATTCATGTGGTGATTTAATTTTTGTTCAAAAAAAAAGCTTTCAAAATATTATGTTTCTAGGGGGTTTCGAAACCCAGTCCCATTGGAAAACATTTGTAAGGGCTACCCACAGAGCCACTCAAAGTTAAATGAGTAAAAGTTGCCGCTTTATATTAATAAATATTTTAAATTTGTTGTATGCCTCACTCGCCCAAAACTCGGTTCGCCCTTAGGGCGAGGCCGAGTTACTCGAACGAGACCGAGTGACCTCGGTCGAGTCTTAGAACTCTGTACAATACGTACAAATTATCATATCAAAGAAGTTATTCACCAAATCATACCAACAGAATCTCTGAGTATTTGTGTTAGCTTGCTATTCCTGCAAATAAACAGAATTTCCAGTGTTATAAATCATAACTTTATTGAAAGTATTGATAGAAATTATTTCCAAGCAACACTTTTGATGCATGATGCAATGAAACCTAGGTAATCCTTCCATGCCCAAAAGAGATCAAAGGGAGAATTGTTATTTACCTGTATGGTATGTGATTCCTCTTTCTCTTTAGTGCACAAATAACATCACCAAGAGCTGAGAGAGATAAATTAATAGATTTTCCTTCATCCAAAGTCTGTCCAGTAGCTTGAGTCTTTAACAATCTCTCACTACCCCCAAGATCAACCATCCAAAGTTTGCTTGTTGCCATCTTCCCTCCCTCACGACTCCCCGTTCGCCCAATAGATATTCTAGTCAAGCTAAAGAGAATTAAAAATAAATAAATAACAAGATTGAAACACTAGCTTAAAATGAATCAACACAAACTAAAAGAATTAGACTATATGTGTGTGTGTGTAACACATAGTCATAAGCGTATTTCAGTTTTCATATCTTGTATTTCCATGAAATGTAATAGGTTTCATTCTCTACACAAGAACTCAACTTCTCTAGATGTTTCAATGTGTTGTGAGATAAAACCCATGTAACAAACAAACTAATAAAATCAATTTCTGGTCCAAACTAGCATGCAAAAAGCAACTGAGGTTTTTCATTGACAAAATTGCGAACATTATACATTCTCCCATTCTCCATCTAGCATGCGGAGAAAGGCGTAATTTTCAAGAAGAGAAAAAGCCCTAAAATATGAAAAAACTAGGATACCAACTTGACTAGGTTCATTCAAACATTCATGCTTGAAATTCTATACTGAATATCAGTCCACAAACATGGAAAACCTTAGGAATTAGCAAACCTAACTGATCAACAGAAGTAATACACAAAGACCCAGAATGGAATAATTAGCTAAGAACGATGTAGTGCAACAAAAAAACTAGGCTCAATTTTAAAAAAAAAGAGGACAAGAAAAGATATCAATAAATAGAAGAATTGAAGAAGGCGACATCAAATAAAGAGCCCACCAGTGAGATCTGCTAGACAACTCATTTACGTTTGTCCAAGACGTGGATCGAGCCCTTCGCCCCAAATTGTAAAGCTTATTTGCCTGTGCAAAATCAGTTACTGTTACTTCATGAAGCCTCTCAATCTCCACAGACCCATCAGCATCCGTTTGGATATTGAGGACACTGTAACAAAAAAAAGTAGAGTAAATTGCAGAAAAAGCAATATCTACCTTGTTGAGATGTTCCAGCTCCTGGAGTAGACCAGAACTATGAATGTTATTGACACTTCTTGAATTGCATGAAAATTAGAGGAAAAATTAAAAGATTAAAACATGGAAAAGATAGAAGAAGAACCAAGAAGGGATTAAAAAATTTCAGTGCCGATAGTTCTCCAATAACATTTCTAGAAAACAATGGTACACACGTTATTGTATACGTGTGGTTTGCATAAAGTTGCAACCTTAAACAATCCAATTAAGGCGCACCTCTAAATTTTATCATAAATATAATTTTGATAAAAAAAATTCTTAGGATGGCTTGAAAATCTATTTCATCTGTAAAACTCTAAAAATGGTTCAAATCAAGTAGATCTATAAACACATGAATCTTGAAAATGGACAGTATAGATAATGTGTTGTAAGATACACTATTTCGCGGACTCAAAATCCGTTTTTCTTGTCATATTCATACATCTTGATGTTGAGATGATCAACTAGAGGGTTTTTCATCATCCAAACAACCTTTTATGATGGATTTTTTAGGTGCACCTTTATTTCTACATTTTAAGGTTGCAAACTTATATAAACTTTTTCCTTTCATACAGCATAACAAAGTCAAGTTCGATTTGAAATAAGTGGTCCACTCAAGCATAAATGAATGCATTTGGAAAATAGAAGAGATGGCAAAATCCATTGATTGGTAATTGACAAGGAGTTGGGCCCAAAGGAGAAGCCAGAGCATATTAATAATCTATTTAAGGAAATGAAAAGTTGAAGGAGGCTACCCAAAGAAAAATTGAGTACTAGTAGTATACAATATTAATTAGACTACCACAATATAGAAAATATTTTTCTCACTTTTAACAAACTTTCAAGTAAAATCCTGTGCCAGAAGTGAATCTCATACCAGGAAAGAATTGATAAATGAGGAGTGGAAGGGGGTCCATACCTTCTAGAGAGAGATTCCCATCTCTTGCGAGGAGTCTTTTGTGCCAGAAGATCCCTCAAATTTCCCATGTAAACCTCCAACATGCTCAACCCAAAGCTAAAACTGATTGATTCATCCAAAGAAGCTTGATGGAAAAGCAGCTCCAGAGCTTGAGGAACAATGCCAGGACACTCTGCTGTCCCTTCCTGAAGATTTCCTCAGACCCAACTGCAGAGTTTAGCTTGGGGAATTGAAAGACTGAACATGCGTGGGTACGTGCGTATGTGTGTGTCTAAAAACTAAATAAAAAACAGTACTTCTTGAACTGACCATTGTGAAAGTCTTTCCTGTGCCAGTCTGCCCATAAGCAAAAATGCACACATTATGCCCATCAAGAGCCGATCTGAGGATTGGCTCAACTTCCATGAACACCAGGTCTACAATATACACTCCAAGTAAGTTTTCAGTTCGAAATCACGACGGAGAGGAAATTTTCAAAGATAGAAGAAAATCCAAGAAGTTCTCTTACCTTGTGATGCATCCTGGGTAAAGACCCTGTCAAGAATGTATTCTTTCCTATTCCCTGTGGACCCAATCAGAACCTTCTCTGATCCTGATACAATGGGTCCAAAGGATTTTTTCCTTTCATGTGATAAAAAAGGCCGGATTCTGCAGAAAACTCGAATGCTTCCTGAAAATCAAAACAATTCAATGAACATCTTCCAACTTCTATAAACTGCCTCATGGATCATGACATGGTGTAAAAACGTCTAAAATTGGCAGCACTTCCTTACCTTTAATATCTAATAGCTTGTTGAGAGCCTCCCTTCTTTTCTCCTCCAATGAACTCTGCTTTGACCTCAATTCTACTAGTTCACCTAGAAAACCCAAACCCTAGTCTACTATTTAGAAGAACACATTTCTTACTTAAGATAAATTATTTTCTTTCTTATATGAAGGAAATGCATAAGGTAAACTTGCAGATCAAGCACCACCCTAGATTTTAGCCTAGCACATTATGCTAATCATCACAATATCACATTCATAGACAAGAAATTGCTTGAAAAAGCAGCAAATCCAACACAAGAATTTCAGAAATGAAAGATAAATTTTCTACATGGACATTGGCATATTTGGAAGGGAAAAAACATCTTTAAATTGAGTAGATTGAAATAAAGGAAAACAAGAAAACTTGCCTTCAAGAGTACAAATTGCAAGCTCAAACTCTTTCTTCTCATGCTCTGGAACAAGATTCACATCTGTATATAGACTCGGGCTAGTCGGAGAAGAGGGAGAATCAACACCAGGGGAGAGAGTTTCAACTAATGGAACATTCAGATCACTCTTGGATTCATCAAATGAGGAATCTATTACTACAAAATCTCCTAATCTTTGAAGAGGTTCACAGATCTGTTCAAATGCTTCCTCTATAGAAAGAAACATCTTTCTGGAAAAGCTTAACTGAAAATGCGAAGCCACTTAAACCAAAACAGAATGAAATGCTCCCATTCACCTCTGTAGAGAAAATCCACAAACCAGGCAGCAGTTAGTGTGACATAGAGAACTTCTATACCATAGAAGACGTTACTCTAAATTAATGGGGAGGAAGAGAGAGTGTAAGGAATTTCTCTGCTGGTGTTCACTACATTTCATATCAGTTTTCTAGTGCAATTTGCGTGCCCATTGCTTAGAAAAAACGCATGTCAGGTATCTAGAAAATAACTAAGCAAACCCAATACAGACATTCAGAAAAATTATATAAATTATAAAGGAAAAGGAACCCATTACAGATATCAGGAAAAAAAAAAATTAAAAAAAGATAAATTTCAAATGTAAGAGAGAGAGAGAGAACCCACAAAACTGAGGGTTGGTTACTGAAAGCTCACAAAATTATTAATTAGAGAGCTTAAAGAGATTATAACGCTATATAGGTTGAAAAAGATACTATGGAAGAATTAAATCCATGTGAAGATCATTTGGGATTGATGTAATCTCCTTATATCATCAATTGTTCTCTTCCACACATTAAGAATAATGTTAGGCCCTATTTTATGCTTGATAGATTCACAAGAGAGAAAAAATCAACAGAGGCATCACATCGCCTGAAATTCAGGTGGGTAGCTCCTGACATTGGAGCTTAGGTGGGGGCCCAAAATTCAAGCCTGAAAGCAGAGAGATTGTTTTTGTTTTTTACTTTTTTATATTGAAAAATAACATGGGATCTGACCATTTCAACGCACCCCAAACTGTAATTTTTTTTACTGTATAGTTGAAAGATAAAAAATTTCTCTATGATAAAAAAGAAAATAGGGGAAATGGGAGAAGAAAATCTGACTCCATGTAAACGCAAAGAATTCATTTCAGGTGTGCAGTATATAAAATAAAAAATGTAACGTCAATACAGAAAATATCAGATAGAATTGAAGGAAAGATCAAACAAGCAATAAATTTAGCAGAACCCATTCAAAACTTCCATCAAATTAAACAAAATACAGGAGATAATTACCACCGTTTCAGATATTCCTTAAAGCATAAAGTGAAAACGATGAAACCCATTTCACGAGATATCAAGTTTTAGAGGTCCAGTAAAACGAAGAAGGTAAATGGAAAAAAGAAAGGCAGAAATCAGGGAACAATGTGAAATGTTCATGGGCTAATGCTTACATGGCAGCAACATGACAAAATAGGACAGAAGCCTCGAAAACCAGAGGAAATTTGGGGTCTTCTCACTCTATAAAGTTAAGAGAAAAACAGGAGACTCAAAGAAGGATACTTTATAAAAGAAAAAAAGTACTTAAAAAAAACCCAAACCTTGCTTCTAGTTTCTGCAACTTCTTTCGATCTCTCGTCCTGATGTCCGGCCAACGTTACGCCGGAATTCCAAATGGCAGGGAAATATAAAGATTTTCTGGCATGGAGTGATGATATGAAGTAAAAGAGAGAGGGAAATGACTATAACACCTCACTCTTTTACCCAAATTAAGAAAAAGCCCCTGCTCTCACCATATGTGTCAAAGACTCCCGAACCAGTTGAACTTTTTAATGCTCCCCAAAATTGATTAGAATGGCTCTTTAAGGCCCTCTAAACCTCATATTTTTTTATAATAAATTCACGTGTGAAAATGTAATGGCCCAATTCTTTTCCTAAATACTTAACAAACCCTAGTACACGTGTGTTCTTAGTGCCAAAATATTTCATGTTCCCACGGGAGCATTTCTTCCATTTACCCCTCGAGTGAAATATTAGAGGGTCTGTTTTATTAGGAGTAGATTATTTTATATGAAATTGATATGTTTTGTATAATATTAGTTTTTTGGGGTGAAATTAACATATTTGTTATAATTTTATGTGATCGTCGTACACCAATGAAATTGAAGAGCAAGTTCTAGAAACTAGCTTTGCTCTATGGGCAGAGTATTTGACAGGTAAAAACCAATATGCTTAAAGAATGAGTGCAGCGGAGATGAAGTTGTTGAGATGGATGGGTGGCAAGATAATAAAGGATAAAATTCGAAAAGAATCTATTCAAGAAAACATAGATGTGGTACCAATAGGCCGATAAGATGAGAGAGAGACTTAGGTGGTTTGGATATATATCGCACAGACCAAGTATACCACTTGTTAGAAAGTGTAATTTAATTCAAATAGAAAGCTCAAAAAAGTCAAAAAGTATGCCCAAAATGATATGGTTGGAAGTTACGAGAAAAGATTTGAGGACTATGGCATCACTAAGGGTACTAATTTTAATAAAGCAGAATGATGGATCATGATTTGTGTAGCTAACCCCAATTAATTAAAAAAAAACTATTATGATGTAGAATTACCAAGAGATAGCACGGGGGACCATAGTGATGGGTTGCACAAATGGAATTATTCGAGACGGTTGTTCCTACAAAAAGTTTATGATATACTCTCAAAAATTTTCATAGGAACCAAATTTACGAAGTTCCTCAAAGGATTGAGAAACTCTTCTAAGAAAAACTAAAGAAACTATTAAGCCTTTGCCGAAGGAAATCTAAGTAGTGGCTCATGAGCTCTTGAAAACATACCAAAAGTTATATGAGAAAGAGAATTTATGACTCAATTCATCATCTTTGAACAACAAGATCCAAGTTATAATCACTTTGGACTTTTTCTTGGAGACTATGCCAACATTGAATTTTTACACTAAAACAAGTGCTACACAAAAGCTCATTTTTGTGAAGTTGTAAAAAGAGAATACAGCAACCGAAAGTGAAGGTGGAAGCTGAATCATGCTAATCTTCTAATTGCCGCAACACACGGGTGGTCCCTTCCTCCTGGCAAATTACGACATTTGTGGGTGGCCAAAATGTCCCAAGCTCTCGAAAGGAGAGCCTCAGCCTCAATCTGCCATGGTGAACTCCAACAGGAGTGCACTGTATATTTACTCCCTTGAGCAAAAGAGCTACTTTTAGCAAGATTTATTTTTTCGCGGTCTGAAATTTTGAAATTCACTTTCGCATCACCGACTGAATACTCTAAAAGGATAAATAGAAAAATAGTTTAGGTTCTCAAACATTTAAATCTGTACAAAAATTGGTCAATATGTGTTTAATCCGAGGATAGTATTGTTTGGCCATAAAATTCAATTTTTTTTTTAGGTCCTCGTACTTAGTTACCACGTTGTGGTTTTCAATTAAGCTGACACCACCCATTGAAGCTTTTAAAAAAGTTAACTCCTTAATTTATACAACAAAAAAAAAAAAAGGCCTATCTCCCGCACTGAATTATCCAAAAATAAGACGTTGAAAAGGTTCCATCCCAAATTTCAAAATGTTCTACACAGGGTTTCATCCCAGGGAGTGAGTTGCGGATGTGCTTCTATGGCGACATGCAATTTTTTGCATTACCGCACAAACGAGGAAAAATGGATAAACAGAGGGGTAAGAGAGGAAAATTAAAAGTTGTCGCCTTTTCGTTGCTAAACAGAGGGGTAAGAAAGGAAAATGAAAAGTTGTGACCTTTTCCGTTGGTGCCAGCTTCGACAAGAAGTAAAAGACGGGGTATTCAGCCTTGCAGTTAAAGGTAAGGTTCCTTAAATTTTAAAATAAATGGCGGGAAACCGTGATTTTCGACCGTTGGGGATTTAAAAACCCTCCACAATCCTTCCTCCCATGGACTCTCACGTGTTTCTATGGCTGAATTCGAAGCCCTTGATGAGTCTTCTCATCATCAATTTAGCTGTGCCCAACCGCCATTTTAGTAAAGGTCTCGGTTTGGATAGTGCTTAGGCTCCGAACAATCAAATTAGAGCCTACTTTCAAATAGTATCGAGAAATATTGTTTTTATAATGGAAATCTTTTTGATAACTTTAAACTATATTTTAATTTTTATTTATAAAATTTAAAGCTTTAAAAATAGTGTTGTTTGAGAGATCTATGGAAATTTGAAAATCTTGAAAATTGATGGTCCAAAAATATGTTACAAAATACACTATTTTCAAAACTTGAAATCCATTTTTTTCTTCTCATGTCCATGCATATTGATGTTGAGATGATCAATTTGAGGATATTTGGGCATCAAAATAACATCTTCTAGTGAAATTTTTGAAGTAGGCTTTAATTTGTTTATTTAGAGCCTTGGCTCTATATAAACTTTTCCCTTTAGTAAAATCTAAGGCTTAGACTCACCTATTCCGGTATGGTCTCTATCCAAAACATATCTCAAAGATGTAATTTTTATTTAAAATTTTAAGGTTCGATAATCTTAACCATGACAATGATCTAAATTTAGATTTTTTTAAAAAATTATAAATTTATTTTTTTATTCCTGTTTCACACCGTCCATTTTACTTAGAGATGGGCATTTGACAAGGGACCGCATGGTAATAAGTGACTCGCCTAAATTTGGGGTCCTAAAATATCATGGGCAGGCAACATAGTTGAGACAATTGGGACTCACTTGTGAAACGGTTCGAGCGCGTTAACCTTTGGATCAAACTTGGTTCGGTTTTTTTAAAGGGTGCGGTTTGTATAAAGCCGAGGCTCTAAACAATCAAAGTAAATGGCACCTTCAAATAGTGTCGAGGCATGTGGTCTCCATATTGGAAATCATTATGATAGCCTTAAAATATATTTTGATATTTAATTATAAAATATTAAGTTTCAAAAATAGTGTCGATCGAGCATATCTAAGAAAACTTGAAAATCTTGAAAATTGATGGTCTAAAAATGCGTTACAATATGTACTATTTCCAAAACTTAAAATCCATTTTTTTTTCTCATGCCCATCCATGCATAAAAAATATCAAGATTATCAATTTGAGGATATTTGGACATCAAAACAACCTCTTTTAGTGAAATTTTTGAGGTGGGCTCTAATTTGATTGTTTAGAGCCTCGGCACTATATAAATTATTTCCTGTTTTAAAATTTCAAAGTGGAAAAACGCACTCCCAAGTGAGGTTGATTGAGACACGTTGAGAATTCTGGAACTCACATTAAGACACAACTATTAAACTTCTATTCTAGGTCTATGAGAAGGTCTATTATATGGAGAAAAAAGAAAAGGTACATTATTGTTCAAGAAAGAGAAGAGAAAAAGTTTAGGTTGTGTTGTATTTTTCTTTGAAAAATACCTTATCTTATTTTAAAATAATTATTTTGTTTTATATTATCTTTAAAAGTGTAATGCCTTAGAAATGACATTTGGTCTTTTTTTGCACACAAAGAGGAGAAAATTGTTAGCAATCCAAGGCAACTATGGGTGTCCCCTGGCAGTGGTGGCTATGGGTCTTACCACTAACACTTGTAGTGATGTTGTTTGGGTACCACTACCAGTGAATTTTTTCAAACTTAATTTTGATAGAATTTCACTTGGCAATCCAATGCCGGCTGGCTATAGTGGGCTCATCAGAAATAATTTGGGTTACATTATACTTTATTACTCGGGTCCTTGTAGTATCACAACAGCAAATGAGGTGGAAGTACGAGGTTTATTAGAAGGTTTGAAATTGCTATGCACTTTGGAATGGGACATGATTATCGAAAGAGACACGACAAATACCATTGTTTGGAGTAAGAGAAATGCCCATATTCTTTGGAGATTAAAGACTATTTTTCATC